TCTGCCCAACAGCAATGTTGTTTACAATGGTATGGATGTTGTTTACAATGGTATGGATGTGGGAGTCGCTGTGTTACTGGGATCTCTGTAATCCACAGTCTTCTCTATCAGCTCTCAGACTTCTTTTCACTTGCTTACTTATTCAGCTTTATTTTACCTGTATGAATTATCTGCCTGTGTGTACACCACATACATGCTTGGTGCCTACAGAGGCCAGAAGAGGATGTCAGATCCCCTGAACCCAGAGTTATAGCCGATTGTGAGCTGTTATGTGTGAGTGCTGGAAATGGAACACAAGTCCTCTGAGAGAACAGCCAAGGCTCTTAACCATTGAGGCATCTCTACAGCACCATGTCTGGCTTTGTCAGTGTTGAAAGGACCTTGGACTAAGCAAATAATCACCTTTCCTAATCCCTTGATGGTAGCTGTGATTCAGGCTCCCGCTTTGCTTTTACAGTTCACACTGTCAGGAGAAACTACCCCATCATGTTGTGTGATTCTTCCTTGGGAGCAGATATGTATGAATGCATATCTATTCAATCCAGACAGGACACCAGTGACAGACCAAAGAAAGAAGTCATCTGGCTGGAGAGATGGCACAGAGGTTAAGAGCACTGGTGCTCTAACAAAGGTCCTGAGTTCAATTCCCAGCACCCACACAGTGGCTCATAACCATTTACAATGAGATCTGGTGCCCTCTTCTGGTGTGTAGGTATACATGCAGGCAGAGTACTGTATATATAATAAATAAATGTAAATCTTTTTTAAAAAAAAAAAAAGAAAGAAAGAAAAGAAAGATGTCCTCCGCATCTAATTTAGTGAACCAGTGAATTGTTTGGGGGGTTACTTGTAGAGGCATGGGTAATTCAAAGGTAGCTGCAGTCACCAAAAATCCCACCTCCAACATTGGAAACAACTCAGAAATACTGCATCCCTGGAGCTCTCTGCATGACTTGCAAGTAGCTTGGCCTAGCGGAAAGTCTCCTCTAACAAGCAATTATTCACTGCTTTTGCAACCTTGAGCAGGAGTCTTGAAAATCTTACACATTTTGTTTACTACCGGAGTCTTAAGAGCTTCCCCCTTTTGGGGGTGGGGAAAAGGAATGTTCCAATTCAGAAGAAATAGCTACACACAGAAAATAGGGGTCTGCAGAATGGAATGTACTTCGGCAACATGCCCATTCCTAGCATATTTTCTTGCTAAGGAGAAATATTAAAAATATGCTCTCGAAAGGCTAATTGCCTCACCTTGGGACAAGCTTAGTGTTTTTCATGTGCACTGTCTTTCATCCATATCTAACCACTACTGCCATTTGGCTCTCAATGTTCCCATGACTCCAAGCACATTCTGGTCTAGCATCCATCAAAGCTCAAATGTTTTACATATTAGGCACACAATGGCCCAGGGTTCAGTAGGGAGCCTCCAGTGACCCTGCATGGCCTCACTTCTAGGAACTCTCGGTCATCTCCTCAGAGTCCTAGGGTGGTTCCCACCCCAGAGATCTCTTTCCGTAGCAGATAGTATGGTGGGACCTGCCAGCCACGGCCATGTGTCACTTTGTAAAGCTCCTTCATTTTGGTTAAACAATGACAATTCTTGGAACTAAAGTAATTTTGTTCCCAGTGACTTGTTTTTCTTGATTCTTAATGCTCCCCAGCCTCTCCATTCAGGTAACAGTGGCCATGAAGGATGCTTATTAATCTCCTGGTGTTCTTTGCTCACCATATGCCTTATTTCCTTAGCTACCCCTAGCAACAGCCAACAGTGGGCCTAAAAAAAGAACGTTTCACTCCTCTCCCCCTTTTCCCTTTTCTGCCCTTTAGTCATGCCAGCCTGGAAGCAGATGCTGGGCTCTCTGCTTTCTGCACCAGAGATCTACCTTCCGTGGGTCTGTCTCCAATGAAACCTGTGCTTTTGCAGAATCAGCCATCAGCATGTGGATCCTGGGAACCATGCTCAGATCACCTTTACTTGCTGAGCCATCTTGTTGGTCCTAGATAATTTTCTTAATATTTTTGGAATAGTTGGCTTACCTGAGAGTTTTCCTGCCCAGGTGAGTGACAGAGCCATTTGGGTTAACTGAAGGGAGGTGATGATGGCTTTTACTACAAGGCCCCTGCTAGGTAGTAATGTTACGATCTTTGGAGCAGTATAGAATGTCACCTCATCACCCAAGGCGGAAGAAATGATTCACATCATCTATTCTTTTGGCCAAAAATCATGTTAACAACACAGGCATAGAAGAATTAAATTAAAACATGTAAATAATTCTATAAAAGTAGCCACTTTTAGGACAAGGGGGATAGTCCGGGCAAACATGAAGGTCTGATCTCAAATCCCCAGAACACAGATAAAAAGCTGGGCATGGTTGCACATAAGCCCAGACCTGTGGAGGGATGAAGACCAGAGGATTATTAGGCTTTCCTGCCAGCCTAGCTCCAGAGTCCATGAGAGACCCTGTCTCAAGGGAATAAGATAGAAAATAACAAAACCGTATGCCTGATATTGTCTTCCCCTGGCCTGCACATGTGCACAGGACACATGTTAATGTTCATGGTTGCAACAGGAATAAAAGAAGCTGTGCCTGCCCCAGTCGATATCAGGGCAAATCATGACCACTTGACCAATAACAAAGAAACCAGTGCAGCTTTTGAATTTGTTATTCAATAAATTCTGACATTGTGAAAAGACACAGAGATGCGTTCATCTCTGTCTCTGACATCATGTACTCACAACAAACACCCACTACAGGGTCACTTGCTCCCGTTCTTGCCTCATGTTGGACAAGAGTTGCAGCTTTACAGACAGGGACTTGATTCCTCTAGGCTCTCCGGAGCCTTCTTGCCTCCCGAGACAGAAGGCATCTGTTGAAGGCGCTCTTACTGTTCTTCGCTGGGCTGTAAAACCCTGGGAGGGGTTGGGAGGCACAGGTGCCGTCCCTAAGGCAGGAAATCCTGAGGAAGGACCCCATGGTTTGTTGAAGCCAGTGACACAGGGACAATCCATTGCCACTGGGGAGGTCCTACGCTACCCAGTTCTCTGTATCCAGGTTCCCACGTAAATGTCCACTATCAGGAATTCTCCAGTACACAGACAGACACTCTGTCACTGAAGACAGTACTTCCTCAGGCTGATCCTAGATTATGCACACCAAACACTCCAGCCCACCAGACAAAGAGGATCTGTGTCCAGATGGCTCAAAGGCAGTGTCCAGACACTGGGGGCTTCTCAGCAGCAGGCACCTCATTATCTTCTTAGGGAAAATCTTGGACCACGTAAGCAAACCCAGACCATGGTCCTAGCAGTTGGGTCCCACCAAGAGTAGAATTCTCCGGAGGGCAGCCACTCCAAAACAGAACCTGTTCCACAAATGAAATGTGGGTAGGGGGTCAGGACAAGCCTGAGTGAAAGCATGCCTGACAGCCAGGCGAATAAGGATGGTATCTATAGTCCACCCACTTTATTAGAGAATAGGTAAGAGACTTGTTACTGGGGACTATATGCAGATGGCAAGAAGCACACAGACCACCAGCCATCTGGGAAACGCAAAGAAAAGCCAACCTCCCTATACCAAATGCTGGTGAGGCAGAAAGCTCCAGGCTGCTGATAGGAATGAATGAGAAATGGCACCGTCTCTCTGGAAAGCAGCTTGCCTGAGTCTTTGGAAAGGGAACAAGCAGTTTGGGACCTAGCAACTGCATTCCTGAGCAAGGTCCCAGGGAAATGAAATGAAACAGCATAGGGGCGGGGGGGGGGGGGGGGGAAGGCTTCACAGCAACCTTGTGACACATCCTTCAGTAGACAAAAGAATCCAAAGCTGTGGCACACAAACCACAAAGGATGCAAAGCTGCGGTGCACAAACCGCGGAGAAAGCTCCGTCAGGAAGCCGAATGAACCACCTTTCAGTACAAAGCCACCCTTATGAATCTAGACAGCAACCCCCCTCCCCCAGTGATTAATAGCAAGCTCTGACACGCCAGACAATTACCTTTGTCTAGCATATTGGCATGGAGTCTAAAAGGATGAGAGGGAGACCACAGATCAGTGGTTTGCTAGAAGTCCGAGATACCGGCTTCCCCAGCACTAAAGGCCCTAACATTGTGTACTAGCCATGCAAAATGGCGTCCCCAGAGAGACTCAGCCAAGCACACAGCAGCTCGATCGGATTCTCGTAACTGCATTAGAATTGCAACGATCTCCAAGCGCCGTGGGGCACATTTATAATCCCAGGACTCGAAAGAGGCTGAGGCGGGAGATTGCTGGTTCTAAAACAGCCTGGACAAAATATAGCGATGGAGATTATATCCAGAAAGGCGGAATAACACAAAAAGTGACTAGATTTAAGTATCTATAGAGATAAAGGCTGGGAGCCCGGGGTGGAGGACAGAGCGGAGGAGGCCTGACTCAAGTTTTGAAGGGGTTTGGGAATGGGAGTGTGGCGAGTATCAGGCGGGTTCAGGGTGGCCACAGGCCACGCAGGACTGGGTCCACCGTTCCGGAGCTGACGGGCAGCACAGGTGACTCTAGGACTGCAGACGGCTAGGAGCCTTGAGAAAAAGAGGCGCCCCCGCGCCTGTGAACGCCGGGAGAAAAGCGCCGCCCGCAGTCCAAATGCCTGCAAAGGCGCACACAGCTCCTCGGCATGCCCGCAAAAGAGGCGCAAGGCCCCATCCGCAGCACCACAGAGAGGTCGGGCCGTATCTCCTAGAGCGGACCCGAAGGGGCTCTACGGAGCTCTACGGAGCACAGCGCAATACCACAGAGAGGCCTGGCGACCGCTCCTAGAGCGCGCTAGAATGACGTATGAGCGGGCGGGGCTACAGAGCATATGGCTGTACCACCGAGAGCCGGGCCAGGACCCTAGAGCGGCACTAGAGACGGCTTAAGGCGGTGGGCGGGGCTATGGTGCGCGCAGCACCACCGAGAGGCGGGGGAAGGTAGAGCGGCACCAGCCAGAGGGGCGGGCGCCTTCGGGTGCGAGAGAGGCGGGAGTGGCGGGCTCGAGAGGGTATTGTAACGGTCCCTCGACTGCCCGCCTGCCTGCCCACCGCCAAGTTCCGCCGGCGTCTGCGCTCGGCACCTACCAGGTACCTTCTGCGTGTACGCTCCGTGTCACTGACCGGCCGAAGGCCGGTTTCTGGGTCGTTTCTCCGTGGGCCGCCAGCCCCTCGGCGGTGCTGCGGAGGTTCTGGAGGCGGGGAAGGTGGGGCGGGCTTCCTAGTGAAGCCCCTTGTTGCTGGGTGCCTGGAGCTCCTTATCCCGCCGGGTCCAGCAGCACCTTGGTGGACCTGAGTCCTTAGGCCAGCTGAATTGAACTAAGTTACCTGAATCACTCGCACCTTCTCTGAAGGGAGGGGGCGAATAAAACAATCGCGGTGCTCTACCCTGGTTTTGTTTTAATGGCTATTTCAGTTTTCAGTGAGGATGAGCAAACTCATTCAGCTTCGGTGAGCAAATTCAGACATCCCATTTGTAATATCTTTCCCCAAAGTGGTGGTGTTCCAGTTGGTACTGAGCTTAAGATGCTGTCAGACAGGGACTCTCAGGTGTCTCCTCCTGATGAGTAGTCCCACAAGAGACAAACACTTTCAGATGCTGACCTGGAACTTGGACTCTGAATCCAGATAAGAACTTTATCTGTTGGGTTAGATATGTAGGCATCTGTTTAGTGCTTAGAACAAAACACAGTGTGCTCCCAATGTGACAGTTGTGGTTTTGGAAAGGTGTGGGAGCTCTAGATGGGACTGCAAGCATAGCCTACCCCTTCCGGCCTCCAGGGGTAAAAGGGATGGTTAGGGTTTGGAGATAAAGAGGGATCACATAGAGAGGCTCATCAGTGCGAGGGGAAGCCTTTGGGAGTGTGATGGGGTTTGCTGGCTGCTGTGGATTATGAGGACAGCCCTGAGTTTTCTAGTCTTAGAATCAGGTTGTGTGTGATGATGTTTCTTCCCCTTTCAGGGTATACACACAGTCCTAGTGTGGGCAAGTAGAGAGGATAAGGAAGAAAGAACAGGGAAGGTTCCAATTGGGAAGGTGGGGAGTGGCCATTGGTCCATGATGAATATGGAGTTCTCTGGAATGAGTGAAAACCTTGTGCTCAGGCCAAGAAGTATCTCCTGGTCAGTAGCTGAGTGAGTGAGTTGCCTGTAAAAGAAATAAGCATGCTACGGACCGCTGAAGTGGACAGCTCTGGGGAGTCCATTGTAGTCTGAGAAGCTCATCAAATGAGCAGCTGGGAAGGCAGTAGGAGGAGGGACTGCAGCCCTAAGAGCTGCCTTTGACTTGTTGTTAATGCTTTTGCCCCCAGATGCAAGAAGACAGTGGTTCTGTCTACTTGGTGCCAAAATGCAGCTTTATAAGGAGGATTTGGTGAGCTGTCTCTGACAGTGAAGTCACAGAGAAGGAGCCAGGCAGCCATTGGCTGGGAACCCTCAGTCTTCCCTGGCTTCCAGGGTTTTTCTTACTTCCTAGGAGCAGCAATGGAAAAGCCTACAACCAGGAAAAAGAAGACCCAAGCCCCAAAGGAGGAAGCAGGTGTGCAAAAGGCCACTCTCAAAGCAGAGAAAACATCAAGAGGGAAAAAGCCAACCAAAAGGACAAGAACCCGAAAGCCCCGCAAAGAGCATGTCCTCAGTCCCGAAGATGAGGCGACTCTCTTCGATGCCTTCGATGCCTCATTTAAAGATGACTTTGAGGGTGTCCCTGTCTTTGTTCCTTTCCAGAGGAAGAAGCCCTATGAGTGCAATGAATGTGGGCGAATCTTTAAACACAAGACAGATCACATTCGCCACCAGAGAGTTCATACTGGAGAGAAGCCCTTTAAGTGTAACCAGTGTGGGAAGACCTTCAGGCACAGCTCAGATGTCACCAAGCATCAAAGAATCCACACTGGTGAGAAGCCCTTTAAATGTAGCGAGTGTGGAAAGGCCTTCAACTGCGGCTCCAACCTTCTGAAACACCAGAAAACGCACACTGGAGAGAAGCCCTACGGCTGTGAGGAGTGTGGAAAATCCTTCGCCTACAGCTCCTGCCTCATCCGGCATCGGAAGCGCCATCCAAGGAAGAAGCACTGAGCAGGGCAGCCTGCAGCTGTGGATCCTTGTCACATATCTGATGATGGTCCAGGTTTCCTGTGCAGTGCGCTGTTGACTGCCCATCTGGCTGCCTGTTTCTGTCCTAAAAAGGAAAACTCACCCATCAGACATGAGAGCCCAAAGAGACTTTCTGCCCTGTGAGTCTAACCTAGTGCTAACACGGTGCTCCCCGGGGCTTCCTGCAGCTCCAGCCATTTTCCAGACTACTTCATGCTACTCAGGGCCATCTTTGGAACAGCTTTGGGTCGCCGAGAACTTAAACAGCGTGAGAGGCGCCCCTGTTGGCAAGGGCCACTGCCTTCCTCTGATGCCTCTGCCTGCACCATCCTCTGTGCTTTTGGCAGTTCTTCTGAAGGCTTCTGGCTCTGGATGCCCAGCCCCATGCAGTCTGCTAGGGGCGGGGAACCCTGATGTGAATGGCAGGCAACACTGACCAGCTCTGAGGACCCAGTCCCCTTGGACAGTCCCAGGTCCTGCTCATCTCTGTGCAGCTGACTTCAGTGATCCTGAAATTTTTTCTTTTTTTGGCTGAAATCTCTCTTTTTGCCTGAAACAAGTGTCTGAGCTCAGCACTTGGGCCTGGAACTGGGCTGCACTGTGTTTCCTTGTCCCAGCCGCATCTAGACAAGTAGCCTGGACCCACCCGAAATGGGCTTAGCAGACCCTTGTACCTTGCCATAGTGGCAGATTTTTTTTTTTTTTTTTTTTAGACTAGGTCTTGTAGCTCCAGGATGCCATCAGCAGCGTCTCTCCACTGTACCTTTAAAAAAACAACTGTGGTCTGTCCCCTGCTAGTCAGGTCAGATCCACTTTCTGCCGGTCACCAGGGCAAGACCATGTGGCTATGTCTGCTCTGTCCCAAGTGCTCTGTGAAGTCTGTGTCTTAAGGACAACAAATTGACTACTGACCGGGAGGGTAAGTTGGGGGAAAGTTGGCAGAGATTTTGGACATCCAATAATAGTGGCTTTAGTCTTTGGGGACCCTGCCCTACAAAAAGGGTCTCTAGTCAGATGGCCTGTTGACAAGGCCATCTCTAGGCCTTGAGAGGGCCCTGCCCCAAATGTTGCAGGCAGTTATGTTCCCTGGTGAGAATGTTTGACCAGGTGTGGTAGTCCATCTCCATGGTTGACCTGACTGGATATAAAATCACCTAGGAGACACATCAGGTGTGTCCGTGAGGGTGTTGCCAGGGAGATTCAGTTCCCCGAAGAGGGAACACCTAGCCTGAGTGTTGGCAGCACCATAAGGTCTTGGGTCCTACACTAAATTAAAAAGGAGAAAGCTGGGCCATTGAGATGGCTCAGCAGGCAATGGCACTTGCTGCAGAAGCCTGGCAAGTTGAGTTCACTCCTGGAACCCACGCAAAAAAAAAAAAAAAAAAAAAAAAAAAATGGCAACAGAGAAGCAACTCTTCAGAATTGTCCTCTGACTCCCACATGCAAACAACAGCACTAGAGATTTAAAAAGAAAAACTTGAGCGTTCATCTGTCTGTTCCCCAGTTACAGGCAATGTGACCAACCATGTCACACTCTCCACCATGGTGGTCTGTATCCCTTCAAACCTGGAGACAAGAAAACCCTCAGTTGCTTTTTCAGACAGTTGCCACAACACTGAGAAAAACAACAATATGCCAGGTTAGCCATCCTCCTTCTAAAAGCTGAAACAAGCAGTGTGTTTCTCTGGTGCCTCCTGTGGCATTGATCTGGCCAGGTTTACACATCTGGCCAGATGTGTAAGCTGAGACTGCAGCAGTTCATTCTAGGCAGAAGTCTTCCCACACTGGCCTCTCCCATGCAAGCACCCCCAGGAGTGTTTTACCAGACTTGATCCCTATGGGAGAGGAAGGCTTCATCTAAGACAAAAATCCAACAAGGTGAAATTGTGGGAAAATGGGCATCAGATGGTATAGATGTGTGCCTAACATGCTCAGGCAGCATTGTCCTGGGTTAGAGGAGTTGTCCACACACTGCTGGAACATTAGAAACCTGGAGTGTTGCCAGGTAGCAAGGCCACATCCTGGTCCCGGCCTGTGGCCCTGACCTTAAGAATGTGTGCTAAGGTTTCATCATATGGGGTCACACAATTTCCTCAGTGTTGAGAGGAAACCAAAGATAATATATGTTCATACACACCAAGAGGGCCACTAGGCAGGGTGGCCCAGTGTCATTCCTCATGAATTTTGTTCTTGCCTTTGGAGCCATTCACCTGTGCACGTATTACCACAACCCTTAGAGATGGCACAGAAAGAATGGGTGTGGCCATGTGCTCACCAAACTTAAAAGAGGTGCTGCCATAATTTGTTTGCCGGCCTGTTGGGTTTGTTGTTTGTTTTGTTTTGTTGCGACAGCCCAGGTTTTCTTGTCTGTCACTGTGTAGCCTGAATTGGCCTTACACTCACAGTCCTGCCTAAGCCTCTGGAATGCTGGAGTCATAGGCATGAACCATCAAACATGGTTAAAATAGATGTAGAAGTGCTTCCTTAGTGTCTGTTTTTTACATTTGTTTATTTAAAACAGGATCTTGATATATAGCTCAGGCTGCTGAGAACTCTATAGCCCACTGGCCTTGAACTCACCATGATCCTCCTGCTTCAGCCTCCCAAGTGCTGGGATTTACAGGCATGCATCACCCAATTCTTAATGAGGAACATGAGAGTTTGAGCACAGAGAGCTTGCAGGCTTGTTGCTTCGAGCTCTGTGTAGGCTAAGTCCTTGAGAGCTAGGACCACGAGTTGGTCAGACAAAGCTGGCTAAGGACATCTGGATCCCTGGGTGCAGGAACTGGACTGGTGCCATGAATGGCAAGGAGCCTTCTGCAGTTTGATGCTCCAGGAGAGTGACAATGTAGACATAGACCCTATAGCAGCCCATATTAGTGAAACACAACCCAAGGGGTGCCTCCATTGTCTGATTTGATTTGTGCAGTGCCCTGATAAAACCCATCGTTGACAGAAGTATCCCTTTGAATGGAAGGAGCTGTTGACTTAGAAAAATAGAGCCGACTCCAGCTCAGCCACTCCCTAACCTAGCCACATGGACTGTTTCTGGATTAGATTACAAATAATTCATTCCTTGGTGTCCTTTCCACATTTTAGGATGCATAGAAAAGGCTCTAGATACAGAATGCCATTCAGTTAAATAATACTGCCCCCATATTGGCCCTGAGAAACACCTGCAGCAGTGCCTGGGGGCAGTTGAGTCATCCCTCCTAGTCATCCCTCTGGCCAACAGGTGGGTTCATAGTTGACATTGGAGTCCTGGGGATGGAACCCAGGATTTTGTGGGTGCTGGGCCAGTGCTTTGCCACTTAGCTATACCCCAGCCCAGGGTTCTTTGAAAAGAAGAATCAAGTTGGTTTTTTTGCTTTTTCTTTTGTTTTTGCATAGTCATGGCTGGCTTCCACTCACAGACCCACCTGCCTCTGCCTCCTAGGCTCTGGTATTAAAGGCTTAGATCAGCACACATAGCCACAGAACCATATTCAAAGCCAATGTCTTGAGGAGAAAGGAGGCGGTGAGAGCATGAGGTCTTCAGCTAAAGTCTCTTTGCGTGCATCTTGCAATGTTGGGTGTATTGTTGAACCTTGTGCCTCAGTTTCTTCCCATGCAAGGTGAATGGCAGTGCTAGGCTCCGAAGAGTCAACTAGAATTCAGTGACGATGTGTGCCAGTTGAGGTGTGGCCAGGTATGGTGGTGGACGTCTTTAATCTCAGCACTCTGGAAGTAGAGACAAACAGATCTGTGAGTCCAAAGCCAGTCTGGTCTACATAACCAGTTCCAGAATAGCCACAGCTACATAATGAGACCCTCTCTCAAAAAAAAAAAAAAGGAAGGAAGTCTAGGTATGGCACTGGCTTGTGCCTGTGGCTTTAATACATTGCAAGCTCTTCCTGATGTGTTGGCATGCTTTTACATTGTTTTGTGATTTTCTTTGTGTTTGTCTGTTTACCACATGCATGCAGTGCTCTCGGAGGCCAGAAGAGGGCGTTGGATCCTCTGGAACTACAGTTACAGTCAGTTGTTAATCATCTTGTAGGTGCTAGGAACCAAATCCAAGTCCTCTGAAAGAACAGACAGGGCTCTTAACTGGTGATGCCCCTTGTTGGCATGCTTAATAAGACCAGATACCCACTCACACACATGGAAGGCACGCCTGCAAGCTAGCAGCCCTAGATGCTTCCTTCCCTAGGGGCACAGCTGAATTCAACAAAGTCAGCATGGAAAACGGTGAAAGAACATGTTTTGTCTTGTTTTGTTTCCAAATGCAATTCGTGACTATGGGGAAAGTAGGAGGAGGTCATGGTCCAGCCCCAGCAGAAATGGGAGAGTGTCAGAACTGAGGCTTGTGTTGTGCCACGAGTTCTCATGTACAGCTGAAGCCCCACATCCCTCTGCACCATTCACTTTTCATTGGGGAGCCCACAGAACTGACTTGCCCATAACCCACCCATTTCCTTCTGTTTGCTGTCTCCTGGTGAATGAGGATCTGCCCTCTTCTCATCTACCCAGACTGTTCTTTGTTTTTTTTTTCCAGGCTGCTAGATCAGATCTCCCCAGCAAGAAGCTCAGAGGACTCAAGAGAGTCAGCCTCTACCTCTACCACAGGACCCAGCAGAGGCCAAGCGGGTCATACACCAGGGAGGCTGTCATCACTGAATCCATTAGCAACAGGAGAACTGTAGATGGGTGAGTTCAGGGTGGTATTTTAGACTCCATGTGATAACTATAGGGTACTCTCACTTGTTCCTACCCTGAAGTTGAGATGGCCACATCACATCACCCACAAGCAGCCATTACTTCTGGCTTGCTGTCAGCCTACTGAAGAGTCCCCAGCACCAGCTCTTTACTTCAACGAGAGACTCTGACAGCCACCTGGCAACAAACTAAATGTTCAGAACCTCCTGAATGCTTTGAGACGTGTCCTTGGAACAATTACAAGCACTACAGCAAAGTGTTGGGATTCTGATTCCAGAAGCGTACTCAACCGCATCCAGAAATTTCTGGAACATGCAAGGCAGCTCCAACTGTCAGCATGTTCACTGCCACATCGGGTGGGCCTTGTTGGACAGGAAGAGTTCTGACCAGCACAGCTGCTGCTGAGCCTCATTTAGAGCAGAGAGCACTGCAGGGCCTGATAACAAAAGAGAGGGAACAAGAGCTCTGAGCTGTACTAACATCCATTCCTGCAGCCTCTTCCCAGCCAAGAGAAAAAGCAGGAGCCACCTCTAGGGACTCTTCTGTTTGGGGAGACCAGTGGGTTAGACTTGATAGCTGGCTCCTTCCGGTCTTGGAAGCCTGTAGCTCCAGGGCACACCTGGACTTTATTCTTTCTGACATTGGTCCCTTCCCAGTTTGACATCAAGACACAATCATTTCCTGTGTCATTGAGTTGGGACACCCAAGATGCCCTGAAGAAGGCAGTGCTGAGGAAGAAAGGCTGTGTGCCCTTCCTCAAGGGACAGATGTTCTATGGCTTCTCGGGAAGACCCAAGGGGGTTGGGTCACCTCTGGTGTGAACCCCAGGTACAGTGCAGACAAGGAGTCTGGCCTATGTGCCACATTTACCCTTAGGCCAAGAGATGGTGCCCACCATCAGCCTATCCCTTCCAGAATCTTGTGCCTGTGGACTTGGGTGCTTGCTTTCTCCTGGTTCCTTCTCAAGGAAGACAAGTAGATTGTCCTTTCCTGACTTAAATCGCCAGAGACTGATGCTCTCGTGTGGCAGCTCCCAGCCAACACCTAGGTGGGGCTGTTGCCCTGCGGCTGGGCCTACAGTCCTGGCTCTGGACCTGCAGAGGGTTCCTGGCACCTGTGAACTGGTAGCACCCAGCTGGCCACACCTTACCTCAGCCACATCAGTGATCTGGTGGACTCACCTTTCTTCTATCTGGCTGGTGCAGACACCTGAGTGTCTTAATGCCCTATTCATTCCTTGCAGGTTGTGTCCTGCCTCCTGTGCTAAATTGCAGTGGTGAATTCCTCTTTAACAGCCACAGCCATGGCCTGCTGGGCTGTAGCAGATGCTGTCCCCAGTCTGGTATTTCTGTGTCAAAGTTGTTAGTGCTTACTTTCATGTAATATCCTGGTGCTGTGTCAGTGTTGTGCACATTGGACTAGATATTTTGTTTTGCTGTGTACTTGGTGGCTTCCTTCGTCTGTGATCCCTCTACTCCATGGACAGCTTCACTGACCTCCACATTGCCTTCCTGTTGCTGCCATGGTTTTTGTGAGCAGATGCTGCTGCTGCTGCTGCTGCTACTGGATTCTATTTTCTCATAAAAGTAAATGTGTTTCCAACCTGTTTCCTGTGCTCTGTCGGGTTCCCTAGAGTGTGGCTAGATGCCCTCAAGGAAGCCACCAGCTTTCTCCACTGGGTACAGTGAGTTTTGACCAGGGTCCCAGCTGGTCACTGCTTCTTGGGATTGTGTAAGATGCTTCCAGTGACCAAGCTCATGAGAGTAAAATGTGTAATTCGGAAAAGTTGTCACTGTACAATGGGGGTGAGAGTAGAGGTTCTACAGCAGCAAAACATCCCTCTGCCTTTCTGACCCCATGTTAAGGTTAGTTGCTCAGCACCTGTTGTGGGGGTCCTGAGGGAATCCTGGGGAGTGTTCATTCTCAACAAAGGGTGATCCTGCATGAGACACTTCACGGTATCTGGGGACAATTTCTTTTGGAAGACCTGATGGGTGGAGGTAAGGGTTTAGGCATACTTCATAGTATACAGGTCGTCCCCACTACAGCAACAGGGAATGCTGATGCCGTGGTCCTCAGGATGCCAGGGACTGGGCTCACAGCAGTAGAAATGCTGGAGAAACCCTTCTATTTTCTGATCCCTCCTCTGACAGCCCCCAGACTAACCTGGAAGTAAAAAGGTCCCATGAGCTTGCAAGAGTAGCTGGGATAAGAATAGACCCCATCTCAAAAATGGGGTGGGAGGGTGGAGCTGGAGGCATAGCCCCAGTGATGAAGCACACGGTACTTGAGACTGGTTCCAGGTCCCATCCCCAGCATTTTCAAAACGAAGGGAGGCTGGAGAGGTGGTTCAGTGATTAAGAGCCCTGGTTGCTCTTCCAGTGGACCCATGTTTGATTCTCAGCACCCACATGGCAGCTCACAACCGTCTGTAACTCCAGTTCCAGGGGACTTGTCTCCCTTTCCTGCTCTGCACAGGCCCAGGCATGCGAGCAGTACACAGACATAATAAACAGGCAAAACATTATGACAAAAACTTAAAATATCATCTCCCCTTCGATCGTTCCAGTGCCTTTCAGGATACTTTGAATAAAATCCAACTAATGCACAACGGCTTTAGGGCTGTTTTGTGAGGCCCTTGCTCTTCTTGCTCCATTCTCTGCTTGCTTCACATACTGTAGCCTGTCTGCACTCCCAGGTCCAAATCACTGATGACACTTCCCGCACCTCAAGAGCTTTGCGTACACCATTTCTTTTAAATGGTCTTGCCTCTCCCCATCACCTTCTCTCCCTCCTTTAACAGCATCTCCTTAGGTTCTCTTGAACATCAAGCTTCTACTCTCCAGGCCACCACTTGTAGGGCATCCACCAGAGAAGACTACTGGGACATGAGTTGAAGCCAGTAGAAAGTCTCTATTAGCCCACTGGCAACTACACAGTGTGTCTGGGAACCCGGTATAGCACTGAACCTTTCTGAGGGTGAGCTTCTAAGCACAGAAACCACACCCTAGGTTGACACACCTCAGTTAACAAGAAAAGAAGCAAGTACATTTAGAGGCTGTCTCAGAACTATGGGCTATGCTGGGTTAGGTCTTTGTTTTGTTTTGTCAAGTGGAGATGTCTACATGCTGAATTTTATGGCCTGAATGGTATTTCCATCATGGAGTCGGTGTTGCTAAGGTCTGGAGGCCTACTAAAATCTGGGTCCCTGTTACATTCCGCACTGGTCTTAGTGAGTCAAATCATGGACTCATCCCACTCTAAAGAGGTGTAGATAGTGCTAAGGACCATTAATTTTACTGACTTGTTACATAATTGGTCATATACTTTTAAGATACAGGCTCTACATTAATACAATCAGAATGAGAAGGGCCCATACAGTGATGATAGTATGATGGCTAGAGAACCTACAGTTTAAAAAAATATATATAAGTAAAAATAAAAAGAAAATCCATTTTATGCAAAGTATCTATCTTGGTACCCACTACCCCCTGGAAAATAAGTTCCCAATAACCCTGACTCAGTGACCCCCGCCCAGAAATGTTTAGCTATGACCATCTAATTGGTGTGATATGACTAACTGCTTTTTGACTTCTATAACCTCCTTATACAGGACATTCAAGGACTATTTTGAGGTCGCCTTGACCACCTAACCTTGGCAGAGCGGCATGGCTCTTGGCTCACTTGTGCGTGCAGGTTTATCCTTTAGAACCCTCCCCTACCCTCTTTCCACAGCAGTCTCTAGTTTGGGCCAGAGATTGTTGTCCTGCCAGCAGTTTGAATAAATTCAACTAATTGTATTCCAGATTGAGTCTGGTCTCTTCCCAGGGGTCTGGAGTTCCATGGCATTTGGGGGCTTGTCCAGGATCCCTGGGAGATTCTAGGCGCAGGGTCAGGGATCTTAGGGATAGTCCCTAAGTGGGGACAAGTCTAAGGTGGACTTGGAGACCCAGGGGAGCCATAGACTGTGACCACTTCATTGGTAAATTCCCAGCACTCGTGAGGCAGAGGCAGGCAGATAAATTTGTGAATTTGAGGCCAGCCTGTCTATAGAGGGAGTTCGAGTTCCAGGGCTACACAGAAAAACTGTGTCTTGCAGGAGAAACAAACAAACAAGTCAAAATTGCCAGCCAATGCTCATATGAAACCCAGACCAGTTAGCGAGTTGTTCCGTTCTGGAAGTCTCAACACAGGGGAGACATAGGATAGATCCGACATGATCATAGACCATCTCAAAGACAAAGCATGAAGTGTCCTCCTGGCCCCCTGGCTCTGGTGTACGGGTGATTGAAGGTGGCCACCACCTGTCTGTCTGGACTCTGCTGACTGTGTGGAATTCTGTCTTTTTAAGTTGTTTGCTTTTTGTCTGAGGAATTTATGTTTTCTAATGTGCTTATAAGTTTTATTTCAGACATGGGACCCAGACCACCATCACCACCACCTCCACCACCAGCTTGCTCTCTGTCCCTCTCATTGGCTCAAGGAGCCTGCTGTTTAAATCCTGTGGGTTTCTCAGACTGTTACCTCTGTGCTTTCTTTGTTCTCTGCTTGCTCTGGTCACTGGATTCAGTCTCGTGGGGATTCCCGGTGTCTTTTGCATTTGGATAATGTTGAAGTATTGCTTTATGCTGTTCTACTTTATTATAACCTGGCACCGGAGTTGCATGTGTGGCCCTCCTCTCATGACCTAAGCATGCCTGTTTAAAAGGCTTCCCTCTGTCTTGGGTCAGACAGGTCTCCTGCCTCTGGTAGAGAAAGGAAAAACAAAACAGCTCAAAAAAAAAAAAAAAATGGCACCAGGAGCTTCAAGACAGCTAAAAAGCAGACTGTTCCAACAGGAATTACTGCTGCTTATCTTATCTTATACTCCTTTTCTTGGTTTTACTTAAACTTTTGCTGAAATACAAACTCATCTCAAGACTTATAAGACTATTATAGAAACTTGCTGTGCCTTAAGATTTGTAAGCTAAAAAGATTTGTGAGCTTATTGGATGCAGTTAAAAATCTGTAAAGGAAACAAAAGCAACCTGATGCTAGCATTTTCTGAGTTCCCACAGATGTCTTGTTTTTATAGTTCTCTGTTTAATGGCCTCTAGGTTCCAGATACTGATATTATTCTGCAACTTGATGACTTTATAAGGAAAAAAATACTTACGAAGTTTTTCAGGTTGTCTGCCTCCATCTGCAGACATGCACAAAGTGGTTAAAAAAATAAATAAAACCCTTTGTTTGAAATCTCACTAGCTGGATGGTGGTGGAGGAAGACACCATTAATTCTGGAACTTCAGAAAGAGAATCAGATAGATCTCTGAGTTCAAGGCCAGTCTGGTCTACAGAGTGAGTTCTAGGACAGCCAGGGCTACACAGAGAGAAACCCTGTGTAAAAAAATAAAAAGAAATAAAAACAAAATCTCTCACTAATTGTTGTAGAAAATATAAATGGCTAATAATGTTCACTATTAATTGCCTATGTTTATTACACTGGTTATTACTAACCCTCTACCATATCAATAAAAGAAACAGACACCTGACAGAATTTGAAATAAGTCTTATTTCACCTGGGACTGGGCAGATATTACCCCCTAATCTATCTTGTTACCTCTCAGTCCCACTTCCCATGGCATTTGGTCAATCACTTCTACGTGGGCTCCTTCCCATCTGACATCCTCATGGACATTTGTGCCTTCCATCAGGTTGCTTCTCTCCATGCCGATCCAGAGTATTCCTCCCGGCCAAGCGCTTCCCTCCATGCTAACCCAAAGCAATGCCGCTTCCTTCTTCCCTCAGATCTGTCCATCTCCTTCCCATGATCCCTGTGTTCTCTAAGCCTGCAGATCTTTGCTCCGCCTCTCACGCCTGCCCTACCCAGCTGTGCCGGCCTTTTATTTAGCCAATCAGGAATAACTTTGGAGATGATACACAGCAAAATTTGGGGTACTTGATACTTTGTTCGTTAGAGACAGCAAGCAGACCTCAGGGAGCAAAATAATTAACAATCAAATACAAAGCACCGGACCATTTTTTACAATCAATAACTTCAGAGATGTCTGTCTAGAATAATCAGAGCTGAACTTGTTAATACTCCATAAAATGAAGGAGATATTAGATAAATAAGGTTTATCAAATCCTTACACCTATTCAGGCTAGCAGAAACTGACTTAAAGATATATAGGTCTAACCTCTTTGTTTTTGCTAACTTTGTTAAGCATTAGCTAGTTGGATAAATTGAGTCTTACAAAAAAACTTTGGTATAAAAAGATTAAAAAAAAAAAAAAAGCAAGATCCCTAGTCCCTCAATGAACTGTATTTATGGTTTAAAGTTTTATTTTACTGCTACAGGATTTTTAATTAAATCTTTATTTCAAATTTTTAAGGCTAAAACTTAAATGAGATAAAACTGTAAAATTCTAATCTTGTAAAAGCTGCTAAATTGTTGTAAACTGTTAAAGATAATTAAGACATACAAGTTAAAGATCAAGCCACCTTATAAATGATCAGATTCTTTAATGTGCTCAGAACTATGCTTATAGTCAGGCTAAGCACATCCATTTGCAGAGTGACAAGTTTTAGCTTTCTGTATATGCCATCAAGGTTAC